TGGCTTTCTCCATAATCCAGCGCATGTTAGCAAGTTGGTCTCTAGTTCCTCTGTCCCTTCGAAATCCAGCTTGTTGAAATCCAGTAGATACCTACAGAATTACAGAATTATAGGTCTGAAATAAATTTACATAGAAATTTGCCAGCCATTTTGCATAAGTCATGCTTGCACTTGAATAGATCAGTGTGACATTTCTGAAGAAAAATTGTTAGAATTGGTGGTTGCAAATAAAGATGCCTAGGAAGTCGCCTTTTATTGTGCCTAGAGATGTAAAATTTCCCAAAATTTCCATTTTTTCAGGGAAAAAATTGTCAGAAAAAATGAACATTTTCAGAAAGTTTACATCTCTAGAGAGAACTTAAACACATAAACTCAGAAGTCTTTCATTAAAGCCTTCATGTTGTATAGTTTGAATACCATGTCATTGACATTTGTCATTATAAAATAACATACTCTGCATTCCCCTTTTTTTCACTTTTTCCAGAAAATACAAAAATAAAAAATACAAAAAAACTTGTTTTTCCTCCCATTTTTTCAAGATTTCCCAGGCCTTCCCATTTCTAATTGCACCACATATTTTCAGATTTCACAGAATATTTTTGAAATTTCTGTGAAATAAGGTTGTTCAGATGAAAAATAAGATTTTTCAGATGTATGTTTCTCCAGATAAAAAATCTGATCAACCATATATGTGATGGAATTTGAAGTGGAAATCAGGACTCGGGAGAATCCTAAGAAGCAGTTCCATTGTGTTCAGAGAGTGTTGCAATCTTAAAGTACTAAAAGAGATCAGTCATGTTTAGTTATATTAAACTAAAGCAAGATTTGTTTAGTCCTAAAAGATCAGGTAATTAAAGGGGGGGAAGTGCATAATTATTTTAATTGTTAATGCCATGTTAACAGAGGTGATAATAGCACAGGTGTAAATATACGCAAAATAAGAGAAATCTTGACTGTATGTACAAGTAGGTTCCTAGCAAAAAATGGGGGAGAGACTTAAAAAAACCACCAAATTTTCCTCTGTCCTTTTTAGATTTGCTTATATCTCCTTCCCTCCACAATTCAAGACACTAAAATACTTCTCTAGAAGAAATCTCTTTGTTGGTATCAGATTACATTTATGTCATGAGTCTTGTAAATAGTATCACTTGTACAGTAACATGGAAAGTTGTTGCATTTAGATATACGGTAGCATATTTCTTTTCCAAAGAGTTTCTGCAGGGGTATAAAACATCTTGTGTATATAGACACGTGCCATGAAGTACTTGACCATGCAGTGCTGTCCTAGAGACCATCTGTTTCTAGTATAAAAAGATGGCTGATCAGGTTGTGGCTTCTCAGTTCCATGGATTCCTGGATGAGATGAATTATCAAAATCAGTCTGGCTTCAAACCTTGTTATGTGGCAGAGACTGCTTTGGTCTTCTTGGTGAATGACCTATACTGGGAACTGGTCAGGGGAGTGTATCCCTGTTGGTTCTTCTGGACATCTTTGCAGGTGTCAATACCATTAACCAGGGTAACGTTCTGGTCTCTCTGGGGTGGGATTTGGAGGCACTGTTTTACAGTGACTCTATTCCTTCTTGGAGGGGACAATCCAGGCCCATTATGAGCCTGCCTAGGTGCTAAGATCACCAGGGAAGGCTTTTCTCTCAGTCCCATGACCCTCACAAGTGAGGGTCATGGTGGGGACACAGGAGAAGGGCTTCTGTGTCACTCCTCCCAGACTCTGGAAGCCTCCCCCAAAGGAGACCAAGCTGGCTCCATAATTGCTGTCTTTCTGCAAGCAGACAAAAGACCTTGTTTTTCAGGCAGACTTTCCATTAATAACTGGTCTGAGAGGGGCTATTAAATGGGTTGTAGTGCCTTACTGCTTTTAAATGTGTTTTAGTATTGATTTTATTTATAATCTTTAATGTAATACTTGTTTAACTCTTTTTTAATATTTGTGTACCTACTGTTTTTAGCTTTTAAATATTGTATTTTTAATGATGTAGCTGCTTTGGGTTCTTTTTAAGGGGAAAGCCATCTAAAAGTATTTTAAATAAATAAAAATAAACGAGACAAGGTTTCCCAAGGGTCATGCAGGTTTCAAGGATGCGGGCAGCAAGAGAGTAGGCCCATGGTTACCATCTTGTTTCAAAAATCTCAAGTACACTTCTTGACACTTTTGCTGATTTGCTTAAAGACTGTGTTTTTTTTCAGAAGGTATATATAATAGTCTACCACAATGTCTGGAGTTGAAGATGCTGCTGGTGTGTTATCTGAAGTGAGCCTTGATGATGCATGTAAATTGTCAAGTGAAAACAAAGAAGCCAATGCAAGCCCTAAAGATCTTGTGGTCACTGTTGGAGCTACTGTACCCACTGGCTTTGAGCTGACTGCAGCAGATGAAGTACAAGAGAAACTCGGATCAAAGTCTCTAATCAGTAAGGACCGAGGGAAAATCTATTTCAAAATTCCTGTTACCAACCTTCCACAGGTTTGTAGATTACATTATTTGAGAAAAATCTGCTCTATATGTGGTTGAGACTATACAGTATAATTCATTGTAGTTAACCATTTGCAGATTTCCTTGATGTCACAGAGGGGGGAGAATCGTAACCTATTCTTAAAAGTTGTGTTCTTTTCTTGTTTTAGAGCAAGGAATTTCAATTACTAAAATTGCAGATAGCAGCAGGGAGGTGGAAAGCAAAAAGACTACCCAAATATTTTTTTTCTATAATAGCGTTTTTCTCAGTGCATTTCTACTGAGTGCATTTTCTCAGATGCATTTCAGCAGTGCCTCTTTTGAGAATGCCTGTTGTGTCCAGTGGATCTTATGCCCAGATCCACCGAGTTGGAATATTTGGTGTAGGTTTGCATTTAGTACTGCATCACATTTCATTCTGATGGACAGACTTATGTAAATAGTAGTTGAAGAGGTTTATTCAAATTGTACTGCAAGAGAACTCAAAATGTTTGTTCCTCAAGATAACGGATTACTATTTTTTTCAACTAAAAATGACACTCTTCTTTTAACCAGGCTGTGCATACTATTAAAATATAGTACAGCAATAAATAAATCTGTATTTAATTTCATCTAGGTCCACAAGTTAAGATCAGTTGACAACTTATTTGTTGTTGTTCAAGAATTCAGTGATTTTCAGTTCCAAGAAAGTAAGGTAAGAAAGAATCTTCCCACTACAAACTTCTAACCAATTGAGATTATTAAATTGCAGAAAATGTTCAGGAATCTGTCATGTGGAAATTATTTCTGAACTGTTTTTCATGTGAAAAACTCTGTTTACAGTTCTTTATGATAAAAATAAGCGTGGAGATAAATGGGGTACTAATGACCATCTGCTGGAGCAGCAAATATAGATATTTAATTTCAGCAAGTGAATAATATCCATATTTGTGGCTCCAGCAGATTCTTAGTACATACAGACATTTAGCAGTACAGCTAGTAGCATTTTTTTTAAGTTTTGTCTTTATTAACATTAATTAACTTTGTCCTGCCACATGTATATGCCTAAGAGCTTTTTAAATTCAGAAGAATTTCTGTGGCTATTTATTTGATAGGAAGGGATTGTTTGCTGCTATTGAAGGATCAAGCCATTTCATACAATTACAAATTAATTATATTATAGCCATAGTGTGTAATGTGCCATATCAACAGAATAGTTAAACTCAACTGCTCTGAAATTTAGTCAATATAGAATATACCTATATAAAATAAATTATATGGATATGTCATTCTGACATGATATAGGAAGAAGCACTAAAGGATTTAGAGGACCTCGTTAAGACACTGCCTTGGACTGATCCTTTGGAAGTATGGAAGTTAAATACAAGCCTTAAGAAAAGAAAAACAAAATGGAAAAAAGGCAATCAAAAAAGTAATGCTAAGAAGGAGAAACCAGAGGATGCCATAGATGAAGAGGGAGCTGTTAGCAACGAACTGTCTGATCCCGTGCCAAGTGTTTCGGAGTCTGCTGAGGTGCAGGACCCTGGAAGTACTGATGAAATGTTACCAGAAGAAGAAGAAGATCTATCTGATTCTAAAGAAGACATAACTTCTAATGGTGAAAACAAAAATGGATCAGGTGACTGCAAGAAGCACGAAATGAAAGATGAGCCGCTGAAGTTCCGTGTGACGTGCAACAGAGCTGGCGATAATCACAGCTTTAAATCAAATGAGGCAGCAAGAGATTTTGGAGGAGCTGTGCAAGACTTCTTTCAATGGAAGGCAGATATGACGAATTTTGATGTGGAGGTACAACATGCTATTGTTTTTAATAGTGTTGCCTTACATGTGTAGCAATAAGAGTCAGCTAAAATATAACAAGACATGAGTTACCACTTGGTAATGGATGAAGCAAGATGCAGTGGGCTAATACAAGTATCACAATGACTTGTAGTTTTTTGTGGCTATAATTCACTATAGCTTATTGTGACAGGAATGAAAACTCATGCTTTGGATGTAAAAGCTCACAGGTTTAATCCCTGGTGTCATCAGGGAGAGTCTGGAAAACTGCAGGCCGAAACTGGACCATCACTGCCAGTGTTGGTGGTGCTGGGGAAGATGGCCCAATGGTCTGACACAGTATATCAGCCAGCTCTGTAATGGTGGGTAAAAAATAGTTGATGGAGTATTTAAGCTGTTTGCTCTATTTCAATAACATAAGTTGTGGCGGTTAGGACAGATAAATCCAGAGGTAACAGCACACTGTAGCATACAAGAATTTGGTTTTTGCACCCTAAATAGGCAATATTATTGATGACTCAGACCTCTGTTTCGTGATACTGTAGCGAAGTATCCCCTGCTTTTTAAAAATACAGTTGTCTGACTATTGTTAAAATGATTTAATACATATTTTAACAATATAATAACAGGAACAGCAGCAAGAAAATTTTGTCAAGTTGGTTACAACTTACTGTGGCTTTTTATAGGGGTTTTATAGAGTACTCAGAGGTGTTCTGCTCTTTCTCTTTTCTGGGCATTCTGGAACTGTGCAGCTTATCCAAGGCTACACAGGCTGGCTGTTCTCCCAGAACATACCATGAAGAATCAAACTCCCAACCTCTGGCTCTGCAAGCAAGTAACCAACTCACTGAGCTATAAATGAATTTTATTCCAGGTTCTTCTCAACATCCACAATAATGAAGTAGTAGTAGGGATTGCCTTAACAGAGGAGAGTCTTCATAGAAGAAATATCACACATTTTGGGCCTACAACTCTTCGATCCACTCTAGCCTATGGTATGCTCAGGTAAGACTGCAGGTTTATCAATAAATTGGAAAAGTTGCAAGCTATCATAAGCGGAATACTCCCATGCCTTAAACTGGTAGGTAATCAGAAGTCATTTCCTGTTATAATTCTTCTTATCTTAGAAATGTGCTAGCAAAGATTGTGATTCTATCACATTTTTTAAAAAAATTGCTTTTGTTTCTTTTCCTATATCTATTTTCCTCTGCTTTTATAAGAAAATGCTTTAAATGTGGTTTTAGTGTTTTTGTATAAAGAACTGAGGCAGTATTTAAGAACTGTGAGGAGTAGTTACATAAGAATAGCCTCTCCAAAGAATGTAAGAACTATGAACACAGTTTGGGCATCCCCTGGGCAACAACAGCACACTGTCAGCTGATCCTTCCTGTCTGGAAGCACTCTTGGGTTGCTTCTGATACAAAAAAGGTAGGATAGTTTCTAGTTATAAAAATATGTGTATGGGCCACCTTCTCCCCCCCCCCAGTTCAAACATGTCCTGATTGGATGTCCCCATATTGGATGAGAATATTTGTCCTTGATTTTGGCTTTGAATCTTAAAGGGAAAGAGCCAGCGATTTATCTTAATGTGTTACATATTCATATTCTATCATTTTTCTGCAAACCTTGATATGGTTTATGCATATTTTCTTTTTTGTCAACCCCTTCTTTTGATTCCAAATTTGTCTAGGTTCTGTGATCCACAGCCAGCAGACATAATAATTGATCCAATGTGTGGGACAGGTGCTATCCCAATAGAGGTACTGTATCTTTCACTTTTTAGATTTTAAAAACCAAAAGGTATTGCCTACCTTGCCCATTTAAGGCTGCACCTCAGAATAAGCCTGTTGAACTCAGTGGGACATAATTCTGAGAAGGGGCATGCAGAATTCCACCACATTATCTCTACCTGAGCTACAAAATTCAATGCAGTAATTTCACCAGGACTTAGAAATGGCCTGGCATGTTTATATATTGTTAGGGGGAGGATTTCTATGACATTTCACAACTTCTCTGCAACATACATTTGAACCAAAAAGCAAGTTCAAACATGTCTATGTGTAATCTGGCCTTTCTCACCAGATTACTCATAAATATGTTCAAACCCATGAGATCAAGCTTTGGTTACAGAAAAAAAATATGACATGTCATAGAAATCCTCCCACTAGTTATGACATATTAAATAGGAGGCACTCCATGGAAAATAAGAGTGTTGCGGTATCTTAAAAGCCAGTGAGATTTGTTTGGCATAGTTTTCATGGACTGTAACCCATGAAAGCTTGTACCCCACCAAAAAATTCATCAATCAGGCTTACAATCTTCCCTTTATCTTTTTGCTACAAAAGACTAACCCACATATCCCCTGGAAATTTTTAGAACATAAGAGATTACAAAGAAATACAGTGGTGCCCCGCATGACGATGATAATCCGTTCCATAGAAATCACTGTCTTGTGAAAACATTGTCTTGCGAAAACCGTTTCCCCATTGGAATTCATTGAAACCTGTTTAATGGGTTCCAGTGGGGAAAAATCGTCGTTTTGTGAAGATTACCCATAGGGAAGCCATTTTGCGAAGCACCGATCCGCTGTTAAAATGGCTGTCCTGTGAAGCATCGGTCCGGAAAACACCTGTTTTGCAAAGCACTGATCAGTGCCAAAATTGTTGTATTGCGAGAAACTGTTTGTCCACTGAAAATCGCCCATTGGAAACACTGTTCTGTGATTCGCTATAGGTAAAGGTAAAGGTTCCTCTTGACAATTTTTGTCCAGTCGTGTTTGACTCTGGGGGGCGGTGCTCATCCCCGTTTCCAAGCCATAGATTCAGCGTTTTGTCGAAGACAATCTTCCATGGTCACATGGCCAATGCGACTTAGACACAGAACACTGTTACCTTCCCACTGAGGTGGTCCCTATTTACCTACTTGCATTTACATGCTTTCGAACCGCTAGGTTGGCGGGAGATGGGACAAGTGATGGGCACTCGCTCCGTCGTGTGGATTCGATCTTACGACTGCTGGTCTTCTGACCCTGCAGCACAATCTTCTGCAGTTTAGCCCGCAGCGTCACCACGTCCCTACATGAATCGCTATAGCGATCGCAAAACATTGTCATGTGGATTCGTCATTTTGAGAGGTCGTCGTCTGGCGGGGCACCACTGTACTGATGTTTACTCAGAAGACTGTCCCTCAAAGAGATGAACTGGCTTGAAGGCGTCAAAGATTGAATTCTTAGATTATCTTGTGCAGGCATATAGTGTGTGTCCTTAGGCTAACAGCATATATAAGCTATTACTGATCTCAAGTGTACATGATTTAGGTGTTTAGAAAATGTTCATATCATCTTGGAACATCCTTATGACAAGCCTATATTATTTCTGCCAAGGTGGTTCTTGAGGCTAAGAGAACACAGACTTCTAAATGTGTTTCCCTGACTATTGTGTACTCTGTGTTGGGGCCTCTATACAGTATTTTAGCATATGGGTAGCTGTTGGGCTTTCAACTTTCTTTACATCAGTTAAAATAAAGAATCTGGTGGCAAGTTTTCTTTGGCATATACTTCCATGGAGTACAGTCCACTTGATTAAATAATTTTGTTCAAGTGGGCTGCAGTCCACCAAAGGCTATGCCCAAGAAAACTGGTTAGTCATTAGGGTAGCACAAGAGTTTTGCTGCAGTAGACAAACATGCTACCCACATGTTCTGAAATGTGTAATCATCCGTTGTAACTATCTGGCTTAAATTGCAAAGAGTAGGAGGTAAACAATTATCATGAATCCAAGCAAGGCCAATGAATAGGTTGATTTGTCACCTGTAGTAGTCTGTCCTGGTGCTTGGGCTCAAAACCTGTTCTCCCTCCCAAAAAACATCTCTTTGGGTCAAGTCAAGGGTGACACACCAAGGATCAACTCCTTCCCTACTTCCTTTAACTTTTAAGTAGACATAATACAGTAGGAATTCTCTTCCAGAATTAAGTTCCAGGTGAGTTTTTAATTTGCTGATTTCCCTATTTATTTCCAACTAATAGGGTGCTGCTGAATGGCCTAACTGCTACCATCTTGCTGGAGATAACCATTCACTGGCTATCAAGAGAACAGCAAATAATATCTCTTATATACTGAAGCAACTTCAGAGTGAAAAAGGGTAGGAATTAAGTATGTTATTTTATCAACTGTTCAATAATACTCTTCTATTTAATTTGATATTTAGAAATGTTTTCTAGTTCTTAAATATGTACTAAGAAGCTTTACCCTAAGAAATAACATATTACCTGATTTTTTAAAAAAATTTCATAATAGCACATCTCCAAGCAAGCCCATAGATTGTATTCAGTGGGACAGCTGCAATCTACCACTCAGGACTGGCTCTGTGGATGTTGTTGTGACAGATATGCCATTTGGAAAGAGGTAAAGATCCATTAAATGTACATTTTCTCATTTGCTTTGTTACTGATCCAGATCCTTAATTGTACAGTGGTAGTCCCAAACTTGCAAGACAAAATTCATAAGTGAAGAGCAAGCACTGGCTTATTTAGGAGCAACAAGCTAGAATGTTGGGTTTAGGTAAAGTGTACATGTTTGCTTGTCTGTTCCCGTGAAAGGGCTTTATGTATCAGGATGCAGCTTGTTATCAATAAATAGGATTTTCCAGGAATGCTGGTGTACCATTTTGTGTGAATGTGGCCATTTTGACCCCCAAAAAATGACAACTGTATTTTTGAAACGTTATATTGTGTTAGCCTATGTATGCTTATTAATCATTTTCTTTAATTTTGCAAAATAGGCAGGTTTACAGAAATGTATTTGATTTGCATAGTTTAAAATGTTCACATTCTTCATAAGGTTGGGAGTGAAAAAAGGTTTTTTTTCATCATAGGCATGTGGAATAGAATGATGTCATGAATTGAAGACATCTTTAAGGTTACAGGTTTGGAAACCATGAAGGTGGGGAGAAGCCAAGCAGTAACAAAAATCTGGCATTTATCTTGTATACTTTGAAATGAGTTGCAGATTACTAAGATGATGGATACACTGTGTACTCTGCCTCAAATATTATCTTGGAAATACAGACAAGATGGTACATATTGTATATTATTATTGTTAACTGCCATCAGGGCAGAACAGACTTATAGTGATCCTAGTTTTTAAAGTAAAATATTTAAGGAGTGGTTTTACCCATTCCACTCCACAGTGAGTTTCCATTGCCGAGTGGACACTTGCACCCAGGCCTCCTGAGTCCTAGCTTGTCACTCTATCCGCTATACCACGTTGGATATCTGTACATTGTAGAACTCACTTAATGCACTTCTCCATGCCTTCTTAACATTAAAATGCACATGCAGATTTACACTACACTGAATGTTATTCAAAAGGCTGAGAAGTGAAGAACTGACAACCCCAGTATATCTTACGTTTTGTATTGTTTCACAGGGTAGTTTGAAACATTATTGTAGAACATGCATATATGACCACATAAAAGAAATGCTGGGCATGGACTTAGTTTCTGTTGATTCTGAATTTGATTGTAGGATAGGATCTAAGAAAAAGAACTGGGATCTCTACCCATCCTGCCTTATGGAGATGGGTCGGATCTGCAGACCAAGGAGTGGGAGAGCTGTGCTGCTGACTCAAGATAGGAAATGTTTTCTCAAGGTAGGTAGTAGCAGGCTCAGTTTTTATTGTAGTTGCTGGGAACGTCTTCACAGAAGGATTGTCGCTGCCATTTGCTTTGTTAGGCAGAATTCTTGGTTCATGGCTCCTAGTGGATGGGGCAATTGTGATGCTCATTTGAGTGTGCTCCAGTTCCTCTGCACGTCATCTTGATCCTACCTCCTCTTCCTCCTTGTTTTCACAACTGCACCAAGCAGATCTAGACCACGTCTGAGGCCATCAGGGAAGATAACAGTCCTGAATTCTCCAAAGACACACAGCGCTCAGAGAGGGGTGGGCTGTGTCAGGGATTATATCAGAAACAATGAGGAGTCGGACCTCTGAAGATCCTTAGAAATCTCCTGCTTGTACTGTAGGGCCTCTTTTTAATTTTCTGATCACACTCAGACCACTGAGGGGATCTGAGGGTACCAGCCAACAATGACAGCAATCTCAATGCTGAAGGTCAGGCGAATATAAGGAGCCCAGAATTGGAAGATCCTACAGCAGTCCCCATGTTTGATGAGTTTTACTTCATGGATAAAATTTCTGGATGCAGGCAGTCTCGGTTACCCTCAGAGACAAGAGGCTATTGAGGCAGATACAGAATTGCCTCCCTCAGAAAAAGAAGTCAAAAGTTCTGCTGGTCCACTCCTCCCATTTAAAACTATTAATTAGTATGGAAAATGGAGTGTCATTTTGAGGGATTCCCTCCTTTATAATAGAGGTCATCAACCCCTGGTCCGTGGCTTAAGCCCAACCTGGCCGCCAAGACAGACCTCCCCCCCGCACTCAGCCCCGCAAAGGCTGTTTGCGCCTGCGCGCATGCTTGTGCGCCTGCACAAACAGCGGCACGTTTTCTCGGAACCTGGCTGGAAAGCTAGCAGTGAGGAGGGACCCAGCGGCTCAAGACAGGAGCCTGGGAAATTCAGATGGCCTCCCCACGGGCTTCAAAACAGGGAACGGCACGTTTTCTCGGAACCTGGCTGGAAAGCTAGCAGTGAGGAGGGACCCAGCGGCTCAAGACAGGAGCCTGGGAAATTCAGATGGCCTCCCCACGGGCTTCAAAACAGGGCTGGCTCAAGACAGGAGCCTGGGAAATTCAAATGGCCTCCCCACGGGCTTCAAAACAGGGCATGGAAGGGCTTTCTAAGAAAAAACAGAATGCTGCTTTTCCACTTACCTTTACTTTTGGCTGATAGAAACATAATGGCTGTTTTAGCTAGGGTTGTGATAAAGTTGAGACTTAGGTGGGTGAAAATGGAAGGGTTTCTGTAACATTGATAGTGGTCTGGCCTACTAGGAAACATGGAACTGTTTTGTATTGCAGGCCTTGTCAAAAGTGGGACATCTGTGGCGGAAGTCGCACACAATCTGGGTGAATGTGGGGGGACTCCATGCTGCTGTTTACCTCCTGAAACGCTCTGCAGAAGCATTTGAGAGGATAGCATCACAGTGGTAAAATCTTGACCAATATTCTAGATCATAACTGCACTCTACTGCATTTCTGAAAGCCATGTGTAAGATGTCTGTGTTGCCATATCAGCCCTTTGTGATGTTGAATGGGTTGAAAATATGAGCTGGTGGCAAGCTTATTGATCAATGTTAAATCTTGTCATATCCATGTAGAAGCTCTTCAAGGAACTTTGAGGGTACAAGTAGAAAAATATAGCCAAGGTATTCATGAGTAAGTCTTCTTTGTACCTGTGTTTCTGAGCTTACTGTTTAAGATTCAGTAAAAAAATATATTTTTCATATTCACAGGGCAAGTTATCTGTTTTTTTGTGAAGATAGCAGGATAGCCTCTGATTACAGAATGACCTTTTCTGCAGTCTTATCTCCGATTGCAGAAAAGCTAATTCAAAATATGTTTGAGAGTCCACAACACAATTTCCAGAGCATTATTCAGCTTAGAATCTATTTTAGATAGACACAGTGCTTTCCAGTGAACAGATTTTGCCACTAGAGAGGTCCTTCCATTAAGTTCATTTTAGCATTGCCAAAAATTAGCAATAGGGATACTAGAAATTATTGCTTCAATTTAGAATTTGATGAGCTCTGGATTACAGCCTAAGAACTTGATAATGCTGCCCTGTTTTCTCATCTGCTACCTCAGTTACCTTGTATACATCAATATGCCATTTGTATTGCTACTGAATTTAGTAGTGAAAGCATGTATCATCAGCCTTTGTATTTTTTCAATATCGACACATACATAAGACTTTGAAAATACTGTAGTTTTCATATATATACTGGTGATTTTGACACAGAACAATGTGAATGACAAGGATACACAGATTTAGTGTATCACTTAACAAAATTATTAAACAGTAGAAAAACTGTTTTCACTTCGTTCTTGGGGAGATTGTCAGGTGATTGCCATACTCTATAAATAGTTATTTTGCCTGCTCTATTGGAATGCTGAGACTGAATTGTCAAATTTGGGAGTCTTTTCATGTTAGCTTGAAATGAATGATAAAACAAACAAAACCCCAAATATTCCAAGATACATGCTTTGGAACTGAGGCATTGAAACCCATATAGTATAAATGTTTGAGTATTGTTGTTTGAATTTTGAGTTAATTAAAAGTGGGAAGGGGCTAGTGACTAGAAAAAGCTACTGGCCAAAATCCTGTTGCTTAGCTGTATAATAAATATCAGTATAGTAGGCCCATTGAATCAGTGGGGGGCTTGCCAAGTCAGCTCCTCTGTAAATTCTACTGATTCAAATAGACCTACTTTAGCTACTGTTTATTGTGCTAAAATAGCAGCTAGAGGAGGCAGATTTCAATCAGTGGAACTTACAGAGGAGTTGATTCACCAATTCCCCATGGATACAATGGTCCTACTTTAGTGCAATTTACTACTCTAAGCAATAAGAATTTGGCCATTGAGTTATAAGAAATAAATTACCAGCACTGTTCCGGTTACTGTAAAAAGGTAGCTAGCTATTTGTCTCCAAAGCACTTTTGCTCCTTAAGATTCTGTTGCCTGTCTATGGAGTTTGCTTTGGTGTCTCATACGTAGTAGTTGTTTTATTGACTGTAATTTTTACCTGTATGTAATAAAGATTTACAACAATGACCTTTCTTTTGTTGTAATGTTTATGACCATGTGAAACAATACTAATAGTTTCTTTTGGAGGCAATTTTGTTGTATTTGCAAGTGTAGGAATTTCTTTTTTTGTTTCCTTGGCTTTGAACTTCTCCATCCCTATACAGTTTTCCCTATTGGAGAGCTTCCAGTGTAATTCCTACTACTTTGCAAAAATACAAACAGATCTGCCACAGTAAGCAAAGGAAATCCTTTCAGAAGCACTGCATATATTAAATTTCCCCCTCTCGTTCCAGTACTAAGGTTTTTCCTCCAAAGGATCTTCCATCTGTCACAGAGACTTGAACCAAGTGCTTGGTCACTTACTTAGGAATAATGTTACTGTTATCTGTTACAGCCAGGTAGTCACAAAACTGGATTGGTTTTGGTCATGGTGTTAAGCAATTGAGAAATCAAAGGATTATGGATTTTGGTGCTTTTCTGGAAAATTCAGGCTTTGTAGTCAATGCCTGGATCTAGCCTGCTGAGCAAAGGATGGAGGTCATGGCCATCAGTCATTGGAAAAGAGGAACACCTGCAGCTTATTGGTGTGAGACCGATCTTCAAGGTCAAGATGGCTCATTCCCTGATACTAAGTTAATTGGGGAAATGGTTTCAGCTGAGTGAGGGGAGAGGAGGAGAAATGGCTCTCATCATCTTGATTGTTCAAGGGAACTGCATGCCTGATTGGAAGACCCTCTGGAAAAGTCCAGAACCTGAAGTTATGAAACGGAGAAAGAAGTTACTTTAGTTAGTTTTATTATTTCTTAGGAGAGACACTGTGTTCCTTGGCTTCAAGGATTGCGCTTCATATATGTTCTGAGATTATGCTGAAGCTATGATAAGAGTCTAAGTACTGGAATAGTTCAGCTAGCTTTATTTTCAGGTGTGTTTGCTCTGTATTGCTCCCTTCTCAAGTTTTAATTATTTGCTCCAAAATCTTTTTGACTGTTCTTGTAACTGTTGAGACTGTTCTTGAATTTTTCTCCTCTTTTTGATCTTTTCAGTGTTTTTAAATAAAATATAAAATTTCTTGATACAGTTGTTTGACTTTTTGGATTAAGAAGTTTGGGGAACATAAAACCAGGCACGGCCTTGACCATCTATCTGGAGCCTGTATGTAAGTGTGGTGGCATTTCTACCTTGTAGGGTTGGCATAAAAGTGCTTAACCGTATGGATTTTCCAGAGAATTCTGGAAACACTGCTTAGTGAGGTAAGACTAAGGTGTCAGGCAGGAAGATGTTCCCCAGCCATCAGCACATTTGGCTCTCCTAGTTTCACTCACAGCAGGACCACCGGGATAATGTAGCTAAGTGGTTACAATAGCCCCAAAACCCAGGAATCCTTGACACATGGTACCATATAGGCAAGATTCTCAAAGAGGTGAAGGCTACCACATATCTGCTGGACCCTCGCCCTTCGTGGCTTATAAAAGCTGCCAGAGAGGGTCTGGCCAAGTGGGTAGCAGGATTGGTGCATGCCTCCTTGCAGTAGGGTAGGATCTCTGCATGCTTAAAGGATGCAACAATAATAATTGTTGGATCCCACAATATGGGGTAATTAAGCATCAGTCTCTAATGATCCATTCTTGGGTAAGGTGACAGAGTGAGTCATGGCTTCTCAGCTCCAGGGGTTCTACATTGCTTCTGTGTTTTATCTGTAAAAATACTTCAGAGATCTTAAAAATATCTAAAAGTCTTACAGCTAGGCACAAATGCTTAAAAATATATGAAAACGAAACCTAAGTTGCAGGCAAATACTTAAGTCAGATTTCAATCCAAAATACTGGAAGTACAAAAACCAATATTTTCATTACATTCTAAAATCATGGGAGCTTATAGCCTAAAAAGATACAATGAAAAAACAGATCAGAATAAATCGGAAAAGGCCTGGTGGTCCCCAAAACAATTCAAATGCAGGAGCAGGTAATACCTTTATTGGGCTACTAAAAAAAATAAAACAAAAAGCCAGCAAGCTTTTGATGATAATTCATCTTCCTAAGGCTGTGCACCAAGCTCCCATCAGTAGCTCCAAAATTATATTTGAGACTTAAGAAAAGCATATAATTTTGGAGCTACCCACAAGAACTTGGTGCACAATCTGAGGAAAATTATCATTGAAAACTCACTCTTTTTAAAAAGTTGTCCAATAAGGGTATCACCTGTTCCTCCATTTGTATTGAAAAAGCACAGAACATGTCAATAAAAATTAAAAAGTATTTTGTTTAGTCGTTAAGTCACGTCCTACTCTTCATGACTCCAGCAAGTATAAACGTCTGACCTATTTATCCCATGAAAGCTGCCGAAATGGCTTTGTTCACCTCTGCGCACTGTTCCCTATGCTATTCCACACTTTCATAACTCCTTCATAGAAGACTGTAGGAACCCCTTATTCATTTTGGAACAACTGCTGCTGTCACAGCATGATAGCGAACCAATTAAAACATCAGCAAGAAACACGCACCGCCCACTTTCACCCCTCGCTAAGGACGGAACTGCGCAGGCGCCGATAAACGAGGCTCCCCCCCCCGCCTTCCAGCGGCCGCGCATGCGTCCAGGCTCCTATTCCGGGCCGTTTCATCACAAAGCGGTGGCCGTCGGCGGCCTGCGCGGGTCTCTTTTTCGGGATTGCGGTGGTGCAGCTGGCCGGGCAGCCCGGTTGGTGCACGGCGGCCAGGATGCCTCAGAGGCCCGGAGGGGAGGATGAAGTGGCGGCGGTGGAGGAGGAGCTTTCCCAGCACCTGCGCTCGGTGAACACGCGAGAGCCCTGCCAGGTTATTTTCTGCAACCGCTCCCCTCGCTCGGTGAGCCCCGTCTGGCTGGACTTCGAGGGGAAGCCGCGCCCTTATCCCACCCTGAAGCCCGGCACGGGCCGCCGCATGCACAGCTACCTAGGTGGGTGCCTCCGACACGCGCGCGGAGGGGGGCGGTGGTCTTCGGAACGGCTTGACTCGTGTGGGAGGGTTCGCGGTGCTCGCTGGTGTGTGTGTGTGTGTATGTGTGCGGCGCTTTCGAGTCGTGAGCGGCCTTCCGGTCGGCGCTCCTGGTCCTCGTGCATTCAACAGGTGAAACCGGGCTCTGCCTGTCGAATGGCTGGCTGCACGAGCAGCCTGGGGGAAACCGGCTCGCCCGCTTCAGCGCCTGAGACGGAGCCAGTCTGGGTCTGGAGGAGGAGGAGGTGAGTGGTTTCACCCTGCCCTGGAGAAGCAAATGCGGGTAAGGGGGGCTTGGCGTGCTGGATAAAAGGAGTTGCTTGCGAGGAAGAGGAACGAGTTCTGCCTATGGCTTAGCCTCTCGACCTTGTGTGTGTGGCTCATGGTGTCAGGAGCAAAGTGGAAAGACTTGAAAAACAGGGAATCTGCCTGCTTAGCAGCGCATTGGTGGCATTAGTCAAGACCTAAATGATATTGGGGGGGGGGGGTTGGGGTTGTTTTTAAAAGCTTGCCCTGGTGCTGGAAAAAGCACCAGGTAACCTTTTCTGAGGGGGAATTCAGGTGGGGAGCCATTCTCCCAGAAGGGCCCTTTTCACCTCCTACCTACCTACCCATTTCTTCTCTCCTGACAGCGGGGCACTTGGAGGAAGGAGGGCCTTCGATGGTGGCTGCCGCATCTTGGTCGGTCAATGCCAGCATTAACAGCTCTTTGCCAGATTGAGTCACAAGTTGTGCAGGGCTTTAAAAGTGTTACCATCTTGGGTTGTGTCTCGAAACAGTTGAGTTTTTATAAACATGATATTGTATTCCTCCGTTGAGCAGGGGGTTGGACTTGGGCCCTTCCAACTTCACTTTTCTATGATTCTATGTTATTTTTGGTTGTTATGGAGCCCTGATAATTATAGCCACATTATTCTTCTTCGGGGGCACATAAAGAGCAGCTGAGGGAAAAGTTTGGACTACTAGTGACAAGTCGGGATCTAGGAAGACTAGGATACTGCAAAGAGTACTGTAGGACAGGGTTCTGCACCTTTAAATATGTAGATGGAGGAATTTCAGCAAATATAGTTTACATAAGTTACACCTGATGAAATTCCTTGCCCTGTGCAGCTATTAAAGGGACAGGAGCCTTGTCCTCTTATATTTATGGCTACTCTAAGGAGAACCTGAAGCCAGCTTGCATGCTTCTTCCATTAGAAGTGTTACTTCCTCCACAGCAGGTTCTTTGTTTTCTGTCTAGTCAGAATATCCTACACCAATAGTATCTGCATCTTGTCTAGATGACCTTGAATTCATAGGCTGCCTTCTCTGGTCCTTTCCTGATCCCAAGTTTACATCTGGCGCCTTTGCAGAGAATAAGGGAAATTAGAGATAGCTGTTGTTACTTTATTGATGATACCACATTAAATCCATGGATGATTTCTTGCAGTGCTTTCATGTATACGTTAGAAAGCTTAGAATGGGAAATGGATGCAGCAGAATTTCATAGTGTGACTTCTTGACTATGCAGCTGAGGAGTTTCCCAACATCCACTTTGTAGATTTGGGTGCTGTGTGTGAAATAATTTCACGAAGATTATGATCAGATGCTGGACAAAACATTTGCATCAGTTTGAGTAGATATTGTGAGAATTAGTGCAGAAGTCAAATGTAGTTCCAAAAAATATTCCTTCACTGGTGACTCTGAGATACATATTTTGAAGGCTATTTCTTCCATTGTGTCTTTGATTCAGTAATTCATAGTTGTATACCAATATCAGATAGTCAAATCAGTTCACACACATCATCTTCTCAAAATGGGTGTACTAAGTGCAGTATGATTACTGTATATGGATGTATAGCAATCTGTTTCTCATGTAATTCTTAGGATATTAAATTTGTATTTCTGCAGATCTTTACAGTTCAGACAATACAGTTTATTTCTGGTTTGTTCTTTTCTAGAACATCTTTGGTTGTTCAGAGATGCTGGAACAGATGATAGTCTTCTTGTTAACCAGGCAGAACTGTTTGTGGCTACTCGAAATGTGAATGGACAACCTATATTTGCAAATATTACATTACCAGGTAAAGACACCAGTATGATTCCCCAATAACGATAAGGTTATTAGGTCTATCCCTTTGTACTGTGCAGAACAGCATACAGCTTTAATGGGATTCTTATTTGACTGAATGGAAATTACAGTGGTGCCTCGCATAGCGAGGTTAATCCGTTCCGGATTAACCTTCGCTATGCGAAAACATCGCTAAACGGGACTAAAAAAGCCATAGAAACGCCTTGAACTTTGTTCAATGCGTTCCTATGGCTTGAAAACTCCCCGTTAAGCGATGTTTCTTCCATAGCGCCGCCATTTTTGCGCCCTCGGTAAGCGAGGGCAGGGCGCGAAAATGCGGCGCGGACCTTCCGGCGGCCATTTTGGAACCGCCGATCAGCTGTTCTCCCCCGCTTCGTTTTGCGAAGATCGCTAAGCGAATCGCTTAGCGATCATCGCTAAGCGAAAAATCGCCATAGGGGCCATCGCTGAGCGAACGCTCCAGCGATGGCCCGGACCCCCTCGCTATGCGAATTCATCGCATAGCGAAGCACTCGCTAAGCGAGGCACCACTGTATTTAATTATTTAATCAATTACATTTCTGTCTCACCCATCTAGTGATCAGGCACTACCCTGGGTGGCTAACATCAGCTAAAAAACACAACTACCCACCCCGAAACAAAAATCCCCGAAAATAAAATAAACCTAGGGGAAACAGTGAATCAAGATCAATACCCAGTTCCTGGATCCTTGAGGATGTCAAAGGGATAGGATGTTTCTGAAGACCTCTTCAAACAGTACAGTTTTTTTTTTTTACATTTCCTAAAGGTCAGTAAGGAAGGAGCCTGGCATATAGATGCTGGCAGCACATTCCATAACGTTGCAGCCACCGCTGAAAAGGCTCAGTTTCTGCTGGTAATTTCCCAGGCCTCTCTAGGGGTGGCTACCCGCAACTGCCAGCCAAGGTGGCCTGCATACACAATCTTAGAGAGAGGCTCTGTTTATATGACTTTCTAGTGTTACAACACTAAACAGATTTCCTATTGCTTATTTTCCAAATTAGACTGTTTAGATGCTTTCAGTCACAGTACACTTGAAAATATTATAATTAATTAAAACTTAACTTTGAATAAGAAAACACTGTCCTGTTGAATTTGAGAGGTTAACAATTTTTTCTCAAAGTTTAAAACCCTGGTGTAATCAGAACCCCACTGAAAAGCTAACTTTTCTCCTTTTCCACAGTGTTTACCCTGAAAGAAAGATGTCTTCAAGTTGTCCGTACTTTAGTGAAGCCAGTAGACTACCGGAAATTAGACATTGTCCGGTCTTTATACGAAGACCTAGAAGACCGTCCAGACATTGGGAAGGATCTTAAGCGACTTTCTCTGGAAAGGAGTAGGAGGTTAAGGAATGGAGTCTCTGACTGAGATGAAGGGTCATAACTTGGAAAATTTACTTTATTGACAAATTGTTGACCATAAGAGGCATTAACTATACTTTGTGAACTGAAAAGACATTGACCTTTGATAGTTTTCTAAAGCAGAGCTTTCTGTTACTTTCCACATGTGACTTCACTGCCTGGAGACAGCCATACTCATGGGACGTTGCAATGAAGTGCTACCATCCTACATTTGAAAATACTTAGTGAACCCTATCTTGGCTAAAACTACACAAATAGTTTTTTTAAATATTGGATCATGTATAAACACGCCCAGATGTCAATACAGTGGAAGATGAAGTGTTAGTAATGCTGGTTTTGTATGGTTCCGTACTTGTTTAAAATAATTTTGTTACAGCAGACAAAACACTGATGTATTGTAATCAGAGGTTTGAAAAAACAATTCTCATATGGGACCATAATTTATCTTCAGTATTGTCGTTCACCCTGTACTGATGACATAGATGAAATAAAAGAGGTTAGCATTCTGGATTTCCTTTTCCCCTTTTCCCTGTAGTTTCTTACAGGTCAGTGCTATTTCCAGTGGTGCTTCCGGGATGCAGATCTGCTTCCTGCACTCCATACTGAACTTACCTATGCTGCTTCAAATATTTGGTATAATGGGAACAATGTTGGAAGCTACATGTAATTGTTGCTCCTGATACATATAATTCTTGTCGAGATGAGGATTATTTTTATGTTACTGTTCTCACTTGTAAGCCTAAGGGTAGGTCTAGTCTGACAGTAGACAAAAAATGTCCCCTGGGTCATATTTTCATTACTGCAATGAAAGTGAGTGGAGTTAACATAAATACGGTATCTTGTCTCCTTTAGCTGCTCCCAGAAAGAACCTTATCCCAACCACCATTCTGTGAAAAATAGCAAAAGAATACTTGCCTTTCCTGATGTTTCAGAGCTATATATTAACTTATTAATACCTTCTAGGAGTTGCTGAGGAATTATAAAACAGATACAACTCGTTTTTTTTTTGCTTTGCATTAGAGTTGAAACTATTATCCTGCTTTCCATATTTTGCAATATCTTATTCTAATGACTGAAATGTGTTTGTTTGGGCAACTATTATGCTGTTGTCAGACATTAGCAAGCTTAACTTGCGCAGTTTGATCATGTACACTTATTCAGTTGCACATAGATCCTAACAAAACTTCTGTGAAATAACTGTTAATAACATGCTGTACTTATTTTTTTCTTTTTGCACATTTTACTAGCTTATGTGAAGTTGCAAGTTTGTGATGTTAAGTGTCTACTGACTTCTTTAAAGTTTATTCTGTAAACTTATAAAAGATAAGCTATGGCACAAAGGATTTTTACACATATTATGAATATACTTCAGATGTTATGTTGAAGACAAATATATATGGAAGTAGTTCTTTCCCTCAAAAATTGTGTTGTTAAGGAAATAAATGGGTTTTTGCAATTGTAAAAAGGAACAATGTTTTGATTACCCTGTTTAATTTCATTTTCTAACTTGGCTAGGAGAGGCTTCTTATGGTTATCAGATAATTTCATTTCCAACTTTGACTGTGAAGACTGCCCACTTTGCATGGTTCTTGCACTTGTTAGCATTTGGTACCTTTGGTATAAAGGTACTTCTAATTCTGGATGATAGATATAGAAGGAATGGGAGATGTGGCTTTCCGGATACAGTACATTGGAATGTAACCATTGGATGCAGGCTAGGACTGTTAGTCTAACAGTAGTTGGGGGGGTGTCATATATTCCATATCACTGAAATAGAGCAGTACAAAGTATTTCTGAAATGTATGCAGTCATGCTTAATTCTGATTTTCCGTTCTGTACCTGAATTATTGGACATGATAGGGCATATTTTGTTTCTGCTGCCCTGGATAGAATTATTTGGAGCATTTTTCTGTTCAAGTCTGTGTTTTAAAGTAATAAATGTAAACAGGCTTGGACTAGCCCGTTTGAACTGTGTTTCTGATCTTTTAAAAAAATCACATATGTACTCAGTTGTTTTTCAGCATTTCATACAGTGCAGTTGATATTTTTACAAGATTTTGAAATAATAAAACAATTTGCTTCTTAACTGCAGCAGTGTACTTATTTTCCTACTATCTCATTCATCAAATCAATTCTGACTTAGTGGAAAATGTTGCTCGAGTTTTTTAGGTATCAAGTACTCAGAAGTGGTTTACTAGTCCCTCCTTCTGATGGTGTTAAAATATGGTAGCTACTGAAAAAATGGTAGTTGTGTTGGTAGGAAGGATAACAATTGGACAGTACATTTTTACGATAAACTAAAAAGCCACACATTAGAAAGTTTGCACATTTATGGTATTCTGATTAGTCCTAAAGGTTTTGCCCCCACTCTAAAAAGATAGTGTTACTTTATAATGAAATATGGAACATTGCTATAAATGATAAGTTAACTTGTAATATAAAGATTAAGAAAGGAGAGATGAAAAATAATAAATTTTATGATATATGGGGCAGATTTCTTGAATATGTGCTAACAAGAAGAAAAGGGAAAGCTCCAAATCAGAAATCAATGCAGTTCTGGAGAAGAGGACAATAAAGGAAGAAGTGCAAAGATGACTTTGAATTATGGTGCTGGAGGAGGCTCTTGAGAGTCCCCTGGACTGCAAGGAGAACAAACCTATCCATTCTAAAGGAAATCAACCCTCAGTGCTCACTGGAAGGACAGATCCTGAAGTGTGAAGGCAAGAGGAGAAGGGGACAATAGAGGATGAGATGGTTGGACAATGTCAGCGAAGCAACCAACATGAATTTGACACAACTCTGGGAGGCAGTGGAAGATAGGAGGGCCTGGAGTGCTCTGGTCCATGGGGTCACGAAGAGTTGGACACGACTAGACGACAAAGATAAAGGAAGAAGAAGACTACTGCAAGAGGTCCCGATTATGGTGGTGGGAAACACAGTTGATTTGCATTTTGGTTTATGTATGTTTATGTTGTAATTCATTTAATAGTAATAATAATAAAAATTTTAAAAAAACTACAGAAAGGGCAATGTGATCTATCTAAATCCTGCCCTATACTGTATTAAAAATTGCCATGCAAATGGAAAACCTAAACTGAAGGCTAAAGGCTAATCCAAAATCCTATCTTCCTGGGGTGCTGTTTTTCTTCATATACATAACTTTCTTTGTTTTCAAATTTAGGGAATATTTCAGTGTATTAACTTCCCATAACTATATTTTGAATTCTGTCTCTGTACAAATTGATTTGCATCCTCTTTTGCATTTTTTGTAGACCAGATCTCAGACCTACCGGTAGATGTCATGATTAGACAGAGGACTACATCTTATTCAGGTCTCTAAATGTTCCCCCAGGATTCTGTTTTGTCTTAGCTTGCAAGAAAAGGCATCACCATGAATGTCAATCTGAGGATGTATCTTCTATCAATTCTTTCAACACGTGGCTTTAGGTTTCTCAATTGAATTAAATGTGTTACTGATGAAAGACTTCTAACTTGAAATGGTTTGGTGGCTTATGGCTCCCATCTAGGATGCTTTCCAGCCTTTGGAGGGTTGATACCCCCAACTGTCTTTGGAAAAAAAACCAGAAGAAAATACTCCACAATTGCATTTTTCATTCTTCCATCTGGACTTTAGATACCTTTTCACCTTTTAGTTCCAGGGCCAATAATTCCAGTTCTGCAAATTGCCACAAGGATATGTCAAAAGTGAAGGACTTTTCACAAGCATTACACAGAGATCTTTCTGGTGTGAATCTGCCCTAGTTCTTTGATGCAGGTGACTTGCTTCTATGCATCAACTCCTGTCAGAATTCTTTCATGGAGAATTTTTATCTTTTAAACTCCCTTGCTGTTAAGGTCACAAAGCTGCCATGGAAAAACTACAACTTTATCAAAAATAAGTACAACTTTTAGGTTTCACATTCTGCTTTTTCATGTGCCCTTCTATAGACTATAAGCTGCATTTTAAGAATGTAATTAAAACATCCTTTTTGGTATTTCTAGTATTTTTTATTTAAATTTGGCTTAAGTATTTGCAACTTAAGTTTACTTTTCATATATTTTTTTACATCTGTGCCTACAGTTCATCCATAGTTCTTTACATGCCTAGCAGTGGAGCTGTGCAAAGGATAGTAGTAGACCTTTGGCCTAGATTGGTGGGGTAGAAGATGAATGAATGAATGAATGAATGTTGCATCCTTAAGAATAAATTGGCAAAGATTTTTTAAACTCAAGATCTAAATTTAATTCAAGCACTTATCCTAGCCTTTACAGAACTGAAAGCTACTTCATCTCAGACACACAAGCTTAGCCCCTGGGAACTGTTAGGAATTTATCACAGTCCCTGACTTCAAACTGTCCCACTGTTTATGAGTCAAATACTGTCAATTATATGAAATAATGAGGATCCATTTTTTATTTCAAGGATTCATTTTTTACTTCTGATTCTGCTCATTTAAATAATATTAACAAATGTACGCCATAAATTACATTTTAAGTTTCTCATCAGCAGATTTGTTCCATCAATTTAAGTTTTGCAACTTTCCTTCTTCTCCTTCTCAATTACATTAAAATGTTTGTAAAAATCTGAAATGTGCTAATAGAATGTAATCTTATGCTACATGTGGAACTGATTTATAAAGCCACCTAACAGGGCTTTTAATGTGAAGTATTTAAGTAGTAGTTTTACAGTTCTACACCATCACACATTACTTTCCATTGATGAATAGTCTTTGAACTCAATGTCCCTTGAGTTCTAGTCCGTCACAATGTCCACCACACCACACTGGGTGTCTAATGTAATGTAAAGAAGCCCCTACTCCTTATTGGCACATCCACTGGATTTATTGAGATATATTAGTTTCCTTTTATTGGACCTTACAATAAAGGTTGAATTGAATTAGTTTCCTAAAACAAGATCAAGAGAGATGTGTGATCCAGGTGTAGAAATGAAAGCCTGGGTTGGGCAATATCTTTATTGAAAGACTACAAAGTTACAAACCAGGTGAGCTTTTGATTTCTTCTTTTTCATGTGTTGTTGTTATGTACCATCCAGTCATCTCTGACTTATGGTGACTCTATGACTGAGAAATCTCCAAAATGCCTTGTCCCCAACAGCCTAACTCAGCTCTTGTAAACTCCGGTTTCTGGCTTCCTTTAAGGAGTCAGTCAGTCCTTATCTCCTATTTTCTCATCCTCTTCTCCTGCTGCCTTCAAGCTCTCCCAGCATCCTTGTCTTTTCCAGAGACTCTTGCCTTCTCCTGAAGTGCCTAAAATAGGACATGGTTTCAGCATTTTTGCCTCCAGAGACAGTTCAGGCTTGGTTTGGTCTAGGACCCACTTGTTCATATTTCTGGCAGTCCAGGGTATCCACAAAACCCTTCTCCAGCACCCCATTTCACACGAACCATCCCCCCTCCCCCACTTCAGCTTGCTTAACTGCCCAGCTGAGATAAAAATTTGGGGAGTGAAGAAGAAACAAAAAGCCCCCCAATTAAAGCAGATGAAATAATGTGGTTGAATTCAGTAGTTCTTTGGTTTTTGAAATCCAATTCAGCAAGCCCTCTCCTGACGTGACCTTCCGTCTACTGTGGGGCGCTTCTCCCACGCAATCTCTCCGAGGGAAACCCCCCGTCAAACCCCGCCCGGAGCCCGTTCCACTGGTGGTAACCGACGTCAGAGGGGGGGGGAGGAAGGAGCTCCATTCGCCTGGGGCGGCGAGAGGAGAGTTGCTCAGTGTAAGCCGGAGCTGCGCCGGGAGCAGAAAGCGGACCTCGCCGCTGGTAGCACTGAAGCCACAACTGAG